CCACAGGCACACACACGCACATGCAGGAGGCGCTCTTGATTCTTCCTGCTCGTGGAGATTGCCACTCGGGACGGGACCCGACGCCGACCCTCCGCCCCGCTCCGCCCCGCTTCCCCCCGCTTCATCCCGCTCAACCCCGCCGCGCTCCGCCCGCTCTTCTCCACCCGCGCAAGGACCCGGCCTTACTGAACCCCGGCGGGCGGATGCTGGGCCCCTGCACGACGCCCCGCCCCCCGGCGGGGGTCATGCAGAGAGTGTGACACTGTGACACGGGTCTTCGCACCCAATACCCTGATCAATTCCGACCCACTCCCCCGGCCGAGCTCCCGGCTCACCCCGCGGGGGGGCCACGGCACTCGAAGGAAACCGCGCCCGAGGGAGAGCCCTTCTCGGGGGAGCAGCGCCAGCAGCAGCAGCAGCCTCGGCCTCACGGGGTCCAGGAGCGGGCGGCGGAAGGAATCCCTGACAAATGGCGCACCCCGGCTCCTCCCAGGCGGCCGCCTGCCCCCCTTCCGCGGCTTCCGCGCCACCACCGCCACCCGGCTAGACGAATGCTTTCATAACTTCTATCACGATCCACGATCCCCCTCGACCCTTTCGGGTCGCCCCCCTCTCGCCCCCTCCCCTCCCTCTCCTCTCACCGTGTCTCGCAGCCTCCCTAATCGTCACCCTCCGGCACCTTCCCGAGAGGCTCCGCCGGGCTGGCTGGTCGGGGGATATCTCCTCTTTTCAGCCCCAACCTCTGCTGCCACCAGAGAGCGGCCTCCGTATCTTGATCACAGGCAGCTGCTCTCCTGGGCCGTAGCGCTCTGCCTCAACAATTCGGCTGCTTCTCTGCGTCTCGCCTCGCTGGTTTCCTTCCTCTCCTGCTCTCATCCTGGACCACCTCCTCCCCCCCTCCTCCTTCTCCTCCTTCTCCTCTTATTCCTCTTCCTCTTCCTCCTCTTCCCCGTCCTCCTCGTCGTCTTCCTCGTCGTTCTCTTCCTCGTCCTCTTCCTCCTTTTCCTGATCCTCCTTCTCCCCCCCCCCTCCCTCTGTCATCCATCCCCGTGCTTGTTCCCCCTACGCTCCCTTACTGCCGCCATGAAATCCCTGGCGGCCACACCAGCTGCGCGGGAGCGGGACCTGGCGCCAGCAGCGGCAACAACAACAACAGCGCCAGCAGCAGCGTGAGCAACAACAACGCGGCCGCAGCTGAGTACAGGGTCCTGTCGGGCGCGGCGCCTACACGCACGGGTGGCCGGGTGACCGGTGGGCCCGACACTCAACACGACACAACAAGGCGGAGCGCAACGCAGCACGGCTGAGCACTGCGGCCTTGTGAGCCGCGAGAGCCTTCCTGCGGAAGCATGTAGGCGTCGGCCGTTGAGCGTCGAACTGTTGGTTGTTGTTGAGTCGCTCAGTCGTTAATAAGCCATCCATTCCCCGTTTATGAACCTCGGTCCTCACAATAAACCGCAATAAACCTAAGTGCAGAACTGCACTGGTTAAACAAAGGTGCTAAGTCGAGCCTTTCCTGGGGTACTAAATAAATTTTCAGTTAAGTGCCTTTCAAAGGCACTAAACGGCACTAAACAGCCTGAAAGGTGCTAAAATTAGTGCCTTTGTAAAGCGGCACTAAACGTTTAGTTCCTTTGTAAAGGTAGGAGGTAGCACCTTTGTTTTTCCCGTGTGTTCAGCAGTTCAGCAGCAGTAGTTGTGAGTGGCAGCAGAAGTAGCAAGCTTCTCTGACCCAGGAATTATGGTGACTTCAGTTGGACACCTTCTTGTTTCTAGTATTTACTGCACCGTGTTAAGCCATGGCTTATAAATGCGAGACAGCTCTTTGCCATCGCAAAGAATAGGAATATGACCAGAGCAGCATGGCATGGACAACAATAATGATAAGGTGTAAGTTCCCGTACTAACTGTAAGTGATGGGCGGCCACAGTTGTCCACCTCACCTGCTGGGCACACTTACAGTGTAGTTCGGCAAGGGGAGCGGGGGGTTCAGCCGGCCTGCGCACTGTAGCGTGGCGGAGGGGAGGGCTGCAGGGGAGGCTGGGGTTGGCGGAGAGAGAGAGGCGTAATCAAGGCACTAGCGCCGCATGCATAGTGAGCGAGTGCCAGAGGCAGAGGCACCAAAGCGAAAATGTTTTCCAATGCGGCGCGTCCGCGTGTTTGCAAAATGCCTTTTGGGGAGAAAAAAGCGTCGGAAATTGGTGCAAACGCGGGAAATGACTTTTCGTGTTTTTTTATGTGTGTGTGTGTGTGCATTGCGTTCGACTCCACCAAACCCCCTTTCCCCACCCCGTCTCGCGCTGTCTTTCCGATTTAAATCCCATCGCACTCCTATTATTACCGCAGCAGCCTTCCCCCTTTTCCAATCTCTGGCGATGATGGCCATCGTATGCTTTTTGTATATTCCTCCCCCGTTCGTTTTCCCCGACGGATTCCCACTGGGTCGCCGAATACGCCGCGTCTAACAACTCCTTCTCTTTCTATTTTTATTCTGCAGCGGCGGAGTTGACGCTTTCATTAGCGATTCCAATCAACGCGACAACAAAACTGGCAGCAAAAAATAGAAATGGGGGAGAGTGGAAGTAATCGAGTCTGAGTGATATGATAATGATCGTTTGCAGAGTCCGGTGCCTGGCCAGAGGCCTGGCCGGGTGCAGTGCGTGCACGGTGGCGTGGGGCTGTGCCGAGCGCTGCGCAGGGAGGCCAACCTCAAGTGCCTCATGCTGACCCTGCTCATCCTGGGCTGCTGCGGCGCCGTCACGTGGTGCCGGCTCACCGAGGTCACCAGGGTACGTACAGAGGCACGCCAGAATAAAGAAGGCCTCGACGAAATTAATTAACTTCAGGACGAAAAATAACAACGTTACATTAATATTTTTGAGACTTTTGAATTCACTCGTCAAAGAGAAATATTTAAAACGATTTCCAACAGGTTTGGCCAGACCATTTTTCTAAACTCGTCCTCCCTTTCCGTCTTGCTTGCAGGTGATGCTGCCGAGACAGCGGATGTCATCGTCAGGCACGCCGTGCGAGGCGGGCTACCTCTACATCCCCGTGTGCTTCCTCGCGCTGCTCTACCTCGTGTACCTCGCCGAGTGCTGGCACAGCCGGGCGCAGCTGTCGCTGCAGGGCCACTCGCAGACCCTGGCCGAGGTGCTGTGCTTCGTGCAGCAGATGCGCACCGCCGAGCCCGTCGTCTGGTAAGACTAACTTGCCGACTTAGTTAGTACCGAACACTACCAGACCAGGGATGGACGAGAGATTAAGTTTCAAACCAAATAACAAGACAACATTTCCAGACGAACAATCAAGCACTTTTCTGCTTTTTATACGATGGGTTCAGGTTTCATTACATTGCAGCCAATTTCGCACTTACAACTTCTCCATAAATAGTAAATACACTGGTAAAACAAGTGTTTAATTTTGCACGTCAATTGACGTTTAAGTTCAAGTGTGCATTTTCTCGACACTTTGTGATGTCTAACTTTGTTATACGTCAATTGGTGTTTAAAATTTCGACACTTCCGAAACGTGTAGCAGCTGTACACCGTATGGTTCCCTTTTGACAGCATACAACTGTGTGTGCCCAAGTGTGCAGAATTTAAACGTTTACAAAACGTCTAAAATTTGCACAC